GCATATATATATGTAATAGTATTATATTTTTAATAATATAATACTATATACAATATATACTATTCTTTTGATAGTTTAGGTCAAACCCTCTGTTCCTTTGCCAATTTCAGGTCATTCCACTCTAGACTTACTTCAATTTATTTTTCTCTTTCTAACAAACAGCCATGATTCCCAAACAGGCTATAAGATTTCAAATCACAGGTTACATGTCCCTCTAGGATAGAGATCAAACCCTGTTTTTTGCTCTATTTGCCCCAGGCTGGGTGCAGTACCCCTCAAACAAGAGGCCAGAAATATGTTTCCTGGCTCATTCCTTTGTTCTGGCTGTTTGTGGCAGGGGTGCCATTTTTCCCTCAGAGTGATGGGGGTTCACATACCCCACATAAAAACACTTCTCATAGTCCCAATGATGGCCAGTTACAGTTCTGTCTCTAACAATAGTTTATCATATTGATCTGAAGCCACTAGGAGGCTTTCTCTCTCTGCTTTCCCTTCCCTTCCCTTTACTTCCTTCCTCCCTCCCTCCCTTCCTTCCTCCCTCACTCCCTTCCTTCCTCCCTCCCTTCCTTCCGTCCTTCCATGTATCTTTGTGCTGGGGAATGAACACAGGTCTTCATACCTGCTAAGTACATGATGTACCACTGAGCTACACCTCTAGCCCCACCAACTTACTGTTAAGAGAAAAACATGAGAGGTGCTAAATGTACATATGAGGGCTAGAGAATGGAAGGGAGATCAGAAAATAAGCTATTAGCCCCAAAGAATAAAAAAAAATTACATTCACGACTGTATGTTAAAATCTTAGCTCAATTCCTACCAGAATCTACGTACTAATGCCTACATTAAAACATCAACCAATCCAGAAGCAACAACCAGTTCTCATAGCTGCCCTGCTATCTTAAAGCTTTTCCCACCATGTTTATCTAGAGGCAATAATCCAAAGAAGCCTGTGAGAAGGTAAACAACTTATTCTTTCCTTCCCCAAATTTTTGTCATTTAAAAACTGTTCTTTGCTCTGGTCCAACAGACATTTTCCATCTGCTAGATAGACCTACTGCTGATAGTTTAGGAAACTTGTCCCAGGATAATTTAGCAGTAAACAAACCCTCAGATGTGAAGGACAGTGATTAATACATATTTTTCCAAAGATCATCTTGGCATCTGACATATAGTGTATGCTATAAAAATACTTCTCAAGTAAATAATATTAAACAAACTCTCTACTATGACATTAGTCAGTATTCTTCAATTTGCTACCAAGTTCCCACATAGCAGAGCACAACTTAACAAACATCGCTATTCTAACCCCTCATAATTAAACAGTGCTCCTAGTTTGTCACACTGAATATTTTTAATAAAATAAATAATAACTAATGTTTATTTAACTAACTATGGACAGGTAGTGTTCCAAGTGCTTTGCATACATTAATTTGATTACATTTTACAAAATTCTGTGAGACAGGGCTGTTATTATCTGTTTTGCAGAGTGGAATCTGAGGTATAGAACTTTAAACATGTGCTAAACCACATGAATTCAATGGGCCATCCTAGTTTGCTATGGGTGCCATAACAAAGTACCACAAACTGGATGATTTATGTAATAGCAACTTATTTTCTCACAATCCTAGAGGGCAGACGTTTCATATTTTGGTGCCAACAGAGTTGGTTTCTACTGAGGTCCCTCTCCTTGATGTATAAATGGCCACTTTTCCTTGTATTTTCACTTCGTCTTCCCTCTATGCATGTGTCCAGGACACCAGTCATATTGAATTAAGGCCTATCCAAAGGACCTCATTCTAACTTAATTTGGGCGTTAGTCACAATGGCAAAGATACAGAAACAACCTCAGTGCCCATGGGCAGATGGATAAAGAAAATGTAGTATTTATGTACCACATATATAAATGCAATATTATTCAGCCTTTTTAAAAAAGAGGTGGAAATCTAACCCCTTGTGACAACATAGGTAGACCTGGAGGACTGAAATAAGCCAGACACAGAAAAATTCCACATGGTTTCACTTAGCTACAGAGTCTTTAAAAAGTCAAATATACAGGAAAAGAAAGTACAGTCATGGTACCAGTGGGAAGAGGTGGGGAAATTAAGAGATGTTGGTTATAGGGTACAAAGTTACAGTTTTGCAGGATGAATAAGGTTAGCATGAGGACTAAGGTTAATAATTCTGTATGGTGTACCGAAATTTGATAAGAGAGCAGATTTCAGATGCTCTCTGCACACACACACACACACACACACACACACACACACACACAAAGGTAACCATGTTAGGAAACGGATTGTTTAACTATGATAATCCACAAAATATATGCATATTGAAATATCATGTTATAAATTTTGAATGCATGCAATTTTTAAAGATTTTCAATGGCCAGTATCTCCATATACAGCCATATTCTGAAGGACTTGGGAGTTCAGCTTGTGAATTTGAGAGGACACAATTCAGCTCATAGCAGAGGCAACCTGACATTCAGCCCAGGAAACTGAGACCCAGGGCCATGTCCTCGATGTACACATATGCCTCTGATGACAGTGAACTAAGTGCCTGCTGCCTATTTTCTCAAACTTAGTCTCTTCAACCACTCTTCACAGAAGTAACATGATTACAAAGTTGATGTTTCTTTTAGAGGTTATCTTACATATTTGTCTATAATATGCATCTTTAACCTTGTGTTTTTAAGACAAAATATTAACTTTACAATACCTCCAGACTTCTCCCAAGCAAGATAAGAATCTTAAAATGGTCAGGCACCAGTGGCTCACACCAGTAATCCTTGCTACTTTGGAGGCTAAGATCAGGGGGAATCACTGATAAAAGCCACCACAAGCAAATTGTTCATGAGGCCCCATCTCCAAAAAATAACCAGAGAAAAATAGACTGGAGGTGTGGCTCAAGCACTGGAGCCCTGAGTTCAAATCTTAGTCCCTCCAAAAAGAAAGAAACAGAGAGAGAGAGAAAGAAACAGAGAGAGAGAGAGAGAGAGAGAGAAAAGAGACAGAGAGAGAGAGGGGAGGGAGGGAGGAGTGAGTGAGAGAGGGAGGGAAGGAAGGAGGGAGGAAGAAAGAAAAAGAAAGAAAGAAAGCAGATTCTTAAAATGTTTTAATTTCACTCCAAATAGCATCCCATGTTCACACCTTTCATAGCGCTGGTATCTGGTATCTTCACCATCATTTCAGCCACCACCACCCCATATTAGTTAATAGTGCCACTATTTATTAGTCTATAGTTTTTAGGCTTGCCACCATGTTTGATTGATTTGTTCACAATTTCCACTTATATTTGGGCTAATTTTCCTCCGTTCTTTTTTTCATTTTTGCAGTACTGGGGTTTGAACTCAGGACCTTCACCTTGAGCCATTCCGCTAACCCTCCCCTTTTTTTTTGACCAACTCTTTTTTTTTTTATCATGGGCTCTTTTGAGATATGTTCTCAGGAACTATTTTCCCTGGGTGGCTTCAAATGATTCTTCTGATGTCTGCCTCCTGAGTAGTTAAGATTGCAGGTGCCAGGCTCATTTTCCACCTTTCTGAAGTGCTTGTATGCAAAGAGGATCCAAAAATAGGAATGTGCTTTACTTACGTATACCTGCAAATGTCTATATCACTCTTTTAGGATAAAACCATAGCTTCAAGTTACTTTCCCTCAGTAGTCTGGGATAGGATTCCATTCTTTCTTTTTTTTTATAATTAGGATATATTTATTGTAAAGGGGGGACTCATTGTGACAATTCCAAGTAGACTTACATTGTACATTGGTTAGACCACCCCACCATCTCTCCCCCTCAGCCCTATCTCACCCCACTTAAAGCAATTGCAAGAGGTTTCATTGTTCTATTTTGTAAGAAGTCCATTAACCTTATTCTGTCATCCTAGTCTCCTTCACTCATCCTCCTCCCCCTCCCTCAAGTGTCCCCTATTTTCCAGTCCTAACTTTTGCTATTAATTTCTAAGTTGATACTCAAAGGGGTTTCTCGATGATTCCTCGCTGTGATTATACTTGACTTTGGTCAGTTCAACCCCTTCCATTGCTCTCCCTTACCCCTTTGTTCCCATCCCCCATTTTTCAACATCTTTCAATGCATATCATTATTGTATTCCATTATTTTATATTATCTGTTGTTCCTGGCATAAATCCTATGATTTGAGTTGTCTGTGTTTACAAGTTTGAGAATAATCTGTCTTTTGTCTCAATGTTTCCCTCTTTTTCCTTTTTTTTTTCACAAGTAAAATAGGACATATTTATTATGCTAAAGAACAGACTTTGTCCTTGTTATCACAAAACACTAAAATAGTAGTGGCATAGGAATTTAGCACACAATATAAATTGATATATGCAATCAGCTGTCCCCAAAATGGCTGTTTAAGTCTCACTTTGGGAATCCTTAAAAACTTACACTCTTAAATGACCTTTATTAAAGTCACCAACAAACAACAAAGGGAGTTACTGCAGAAAAATCTTACTGTAAAAAACACCTCAGTTCCTAGGGCTGGGGAAGGTTTGTAAGAAGTACTTGTTTTGCCTCTCTAGCTGAGCCACAGCAAAGTCTCAAGCTCATTTTCACTGAGGGTCCCCAACTTGAGAAGATAATTCTAGATTTAATATTGCAACTCTCACTATCAGGCCTCAGTTTAAGCTGCATCCCAAGTGAAAAGGAAGGGGTGTGAGAAAGAAAACCAGTACTTTGCAGGCTGAAGAGACAGGCGGCATTGGAACGGTAGCCCTTAGATTGAGGACGGGAGCTGCATAAAACCACATTTCAAACCAGTTCATTGTCATCTCACACTCTATTCAACTGTCTGATCTGCCCAAAGAGTTTCCCAAGTCTGAGTGTCTTTCAAGCACAATTTACAATGAGCTCGCAATTCTTCTCCATCACCCAGCTTTCAAAGAGTTGAACTTGGTGGACTTTCCAGACTTAGTGTGAGATAAATTATTCTAAGACAGCTTGGAAATTAATCTACCATTTTCTTGTTCTGCTGTACCTTAGCTCTGGCATAAGGGATTTGCTAACTGGAAAGGTCGTAGAGCCGGTAACCCCAGTGTTGTCTGTGGAGCAAGTGAGGTACTTTTTAGACATGGAAGCACTTTCTTGTATCCTATTGCTTGCTCTGAAAACACTAGCTTCACAAGGTCACAGGAAACACACCTGGTCTCTTCCTCCGGGAGAACTTCAGCATGGGCGTGTGGCCTCGCAGACAGCTCTGATCGTGGGTGAGAGAGACCCAACTCAGCACCCTGACCCTCAGGAAAAGCCCTTGCTGGTTCCCCCTTAGCAACTCCCACCTCCCACAGTTGTGGGTGACCTAGCCATCCTGATGCCCAGGCATCTCCTATGAGGCTGTCCGTGACTCTGTGCCCTCTTTCTGGCCAATCCCTCCCCAGAGCTTCCCTGCTGCCATGGGACATGCCAGCAAGCCACTTTTCTGCAGAAGCAGCGCACAGACCCTCGGCCTTCCTTGGAGCAGCCACAGAGGCTGAGTTTCTTCCCACCAGTTCCTTCGCATACAGAAGCACTTTGTTGTCGCTGTGGAGGAGGAGATCAGCCTCTCTCGGGTCACTTTTCTTTTCCAAGAATGACATCCCATTCTGTGACTTTCCACTGACATCGACCGTGGGGTGATGCACCTGGGAGGGCACCTGTGCTGAGGTCCCCTCCTGTGTTTTCTTAAGGCTACACAACCGTGTGTCCGAGCCATCGCCTCCCGACCCCGGTGCTTCTGCCAGGCAGGTGCCCAGGGTGCCGCTTCTGCCCCTCATGCATGTGCTCTGTGATGCGGGTGCCTGGGAGGACACCTGTCAGTCAGGAGAGGCCCGTCCCTGGATCTCAATGTGCACTTGCAGACGCACACTGAGCATCATGGAAGCCACGATGTGGAGGCAGGGGAAGTTGATACGCAGCCGCCAAGCCAGGTCGAAGAAGATGAGCTGTGTGGGGGTCAACCCCTTGCAGAAGACCCCATAAGAGCGGGCGGTGGCCTGACGTCACACCCCTCTGTTTCCTTAAAGTTCTACAGTTTCCCTAAGGTGTGTCTACATGGGATCTGTTTCTATTTGCCCTGCTTCACACACTGTCTTTCTTCCATCTGGAAAACTCTCAGTGATTGCCTCCTCAAATAGCCTTTCTTGCATTCTTTTTATCATTTGAAATTCCTAATAGAAAAAGGGGTAGCTTCTTATCATCTCTTCCAAATCTCCTATATCTCTTCACTTGTGTCCCAGTGGTGATTTCCAGGTGACTCCCCCAATCCTTTTAACTTTTTTGTCCACTAGTTTTTCTCTTCTACATCATTTTGCCCATCTGACCAGGGTGGATTTGATGTTGCTGATATTTCAATGATAATATTTTTCATTTCTATAATTTCTACCTTTTCATATCTTTACTTGCAGTTCTTTCTTTATGAGTTCTGTTATGTCACTTATCTTTTGAAATTCAAACAATATTTTTAAGTTCTCTTTCATATTGTCTTATCTGTAGTCACTTAATTATGACCATCTGTTGTATAGACTATCTCTCATGGGATAAGCTCCACTTGAGTGCTATGAACTGCTGTATTTGGTTGGGAATTAATTTCCACAGAAGTTAAACATTTGTGTGTGTGTTGTAGGAGTCAGTTTATGATTTTCTGTGATAGAGTTCATACATTCTGAAGCATATTTTACATTCATCTCTGGATCAGGTTTTGGGTAAATTATAGTCCACATCCTAGAGCAATAAGGGTCTCAATCCGAGGGTTGATTCAGTTCTACCACAGTGTGAGTTGAGCAGAGAGCTATGGTCTACACAAAGAGCTATGTTCAAGCTCTTGTATGTATATAGGGTTCATAATTTGATTCCTAAGCCCTACATTGGCATTCCAGGAAAATATCCAGTTTGACTTTTCCCATGGGCCATTCAGCTTCAAGTACTCCTTGATGTTAATGGTTCCTTCGTTATCTCTGCCACCTGGAATCTTGCTTTGAATTTTGCTTGATGAGGAAGACGACTTGTCCAGAGTGAAAAGGGGACTTCCCATGTCAGCTCAATTAACTATATTGTTACTAAATTACCCAAATCATATCTTAGAGAAAATATTAGTCTAGACACATATGACAAAGTCATGCAAAGCAGCAAGTGAGATGAAAAAAAGAAGCATTTACAAATAAGAATGCAAAAGAATATACTACATTAGGCTGATTTTATAAACAAAGCTCTGTGATATTTTTGGTTTGGTTTTGGTGGGATTGGGGTTTGAATTTAGGGCTTTTGTACTTGCAAAGCAGGTGCTCTTCTGCTTGTGCCATACATATAATTCTATGATATTTTTTAAACAACTAGCTAAAATATCAACTTAAGCCCAAAGCTATAAATTTACTGAAAAGCATTAATAAAAACAAGTTTCATCTACTGGAAACACAGCAAGTCATTCTAAGTGAATTAGTCATATTAGAATAAAAAAAGACTTAGAGATGGTATTTTTCTTCAAAATTAGAATAAAACTTCACATTTTCTATAGCACAACAATAAATACTGAGGGAATTGTGTTGCAGTTTGCTTTGTTTTGGCTTGGTGTTGGGGGGATTAGAAATAACATCACATCACAGCACACTCAGAACACTCTCTAAAAAACAGTTTGTTCTTTCAGTACATATCTGTTAAGCTCCTCCAAGGTGCTCATACTTGTACATGCCCTGTACTAGGGCACAAGTTAATGACCTGGCAAAGCACACAATCTACTGAGGTCCCAGACATATATACATGCTATATAAAAGTGTTAATACAGAGATCATCAATGGTTAAACCAAATATCAGGCCTACAGAAAAACTTGTGCCAAGAAAATTTCTAGGAAGGAAAGTTCACTAGATAGTTCCTTCTTTAGAAAAGAAGGACCAAATCTTTGGAAGAAACCTTATGAACCAGAAATCTCACGACAAGACAGTTGTCTTTAACACCCTTCCATTGTCCCAGGTCTCCTACAGCCCATTTAAAGAGAATAAAACAAACAATTCCTTCCAAGGCACACAATCTTTCAAAAATCCTTCCTATCAACCTTGTTTTATTCATAAAGCCTAATCTATATAAAAATGCTTATCTAGGCATTGGTGGCTTATACCTTTAATCCTTACTACTTGAGAGGCTGAGATCAGGAGGATCACTGTTCAATGTAAGCCCAGGCTAATAGTTCTAGAGACCCCATCTCCAAAATGACTAGAGCAAAGTGAACTGGAAGTGTGGCTCAAGCAATAGAGCACCTGCTTTGCAGGTATGAAGCCCTAAGTTAAAATCCCAGTACCCTCCCCCCGACACACACAAAAATGCTTTCCCTAGATGCAACAGGAACAAAAATAGCCCAAAACTTTATTCCAGCAGTCATTTTTAAAGTAGCTCATAGATCATCTACTGCATGCCTTGTGTTCACTGAGAATCTGCACTGAAAGTGGTGATTTAGCAAAGCAGTGCATTTCCCTGAAATGGTAATGAAGTTCAGCCAAAATAGAGATAATTATTTTAATTAATGGTAATGATTTTAATGGTCAAACATTTTAACTAATTAATTATGATTGATTGCTTGTTACTAATCAAGGAATATGACTCAAAGTTGTAACTGAAAAACCAGAAGCAATAGGTTCCACCGAGAGCATAGCCCAACCACACTGAGATCAGGGCCATTATTTTTGCCTCAAAAATTACTTTCTGGATCATTTCAGTCCTTATTCTTTCATATACTCCTTAAGATAAACTGATAGGATATTGGTTTTAATGGGAGTATTTAGGACCCTTTATCAGAAATGGGAACAAAATGTGAAAAGGAAATATATTTGAACAAAAGTGTTATTCTTTTTATTTCCCACAAATTCTCATTTTTATTTAGACTAATTAGATTTAAGTTTCTATCATGTACTGCCAAAGGATTTCTGAGTACTACAGTTGGAATTTTTTAATGTTCTATTCCTTGCATTTAAGAGTTTGCATATTATTTTTCACGTTTCTATATTATTTTAGTAACTTTCATTTTCAAAGGGTACATGCCCAGCAGATAAGGCAAACCTGACCTGGCTCCTTAGCCCACTTGCCTAAGTACAGACTTTATTGGGTGCCACAATCCTGACTTGGCATATCTTTTGTGTAGCAGACATGGCTGGGCACCACTGTGCCAGGACAGCCCTGTAAACAGAGGAGTACAGCCAGCCAGGGCCAATGCTCAGAGAGACTGCCTTCCTAGTGTCAATGGGACACAGCTGGTGGGCTCTGAGCTATGCAAAACCTACACATTTCTTCCATGCCCAGACTTCATCCCTCAGAGCCCAGACCCCATGCTAGATCTGGCTCCCCACCCAGATCTAGTAAAACTTTTCTGCTCAGTGCTCAATTTTTGGTCTCTTAGTCTTTATTTTTCTTTAACAGCATGTAAATTACTATTGAAGGAGACCAGAATATGCCACCCCATTTTGACATAAGAATTATTTTGAGCTGAAAGCAATTAGCACTCTGCCCTTCCATTTTCTGCTTAAAAGCAGGACATAAATTTCCATTTGTAAAGATTGCTCCCTCTCCCACAGCAGGGAGAGAACAAGACAGCTCTCAGCACCTGAGACAACTCTTACTTACTGAACAACCCTGACTTACCATACATTCCTTCCAGTTACCTTCCCATCATTTGCCTAGTACCTAGAAGCCCCAATCCCCTTTTCCTTTGCCTGGCCTAAGATGGTACAGAAGCCCCAAATTCTAAACACCTTCTTGGGCCACATTTCTTTGTGAATCTCCATGCCTAAGTATGAATCAAACCCTGTTTGATTTTTTTTCTCTTGTCAATCATTTGTAGCCTTCAACTGCTGAACCTAAGAGGGTAGAGGACAAAGTTGCTTCCTCCCCTACACTTATGTCATTTGTAGGCTACTGCTCAAGGAGGCCAATTCCATGACAAGGGAATACCATGTCTGCCTGGCCATCCAATGCCTGGGCACAGTAGAGGGCTCAATACCCTTTCATTGGGTCAAAGAGTGAATATCCCCTATGAGCCAGCCATGATGCTGTTTTCACAATTACATGTAGTACTGCCATAAAACTTCTTTCCACAGCTATGCCAGCTTCATTTTGGCAAAATTTAAGTGTTCCCTCTGAAGCCTGTAGTTAGCAGGAGTGTCGGAATCTGAAGACAGGCTTTTGTTAGGAAAAGGTAACTGAACATTTTGAGAAAGCCTCATGAACCTGTCAGTTACTGACAGGACTAGTTCACTCTCCCTAAAGACCACCTGTGCCAAGTGCCATGGCTCACACCTGTAATCCTAGCTACTCAGGAGACAGCAATCAGGAGGATTGAGGTTCAAAGCCAGCCTGGGCAAATAGTCTGCAGGACCCTATCTCAAAAACCTCATCACAAAAAAGTACTTGCAAGTAGCTCAAGGTGTAGGCCCTGAGTTCAAATCCCAGTACCGCAAAGTAAATAAATAAAATTTTTAAAAAGACCATTTGCCACACACACCCTCACAGGAATGTGCTTACGTATCACTTCCCCCCTTTGCCCGCAGGAGACAAGGATCCTTATAGACACACTGGGACCACAGAGCCAAGCCTCCCCAATCCCTCACTTCAGCTGCTGGTGGCCCTTTGACCCCCCCATGTTGCTTCTCACAGGAGCCCTGGAGACAGTTGATGGTACCTCCCATTTGTCCAGCTGAGGAAGCCAATGCCACAGGAGGACTCTGCTACATGAGAAGTAGTAGACTGAGGCTAGGACACAGGGTCAATTTAATTCCTGATCCCTACCCTTTGCAA